AAACCTTTACTAGAATAAATCTAAGAAGAAGAGAATTATTTAACTAAGAAAGATAAACTTAAAATTAAATATAAACTTCTTAATTAGACCTTTTATTACGATAATAATTACTACACGTACCTTAATAGTAAGTAAGGTAGCGAATAGTTTTCACGAGAATAAAAGGGAAAGAGAATAACCCTTATAATACAACCAAAATTATAACAAACCGATTTAAAGATATTAAACGGGAAATTATACTATGCTAAGAATAACGCATATACTATCCGGATTACGCCCTTATAATTCAAGGAAGGAAACTATATAACTACGAGTAACTTACTTAGTCTAAGTTCAATTAACATAAATAATAGATTAAGTAATTACTAAGAAAGCTCTAATAAGACGCTAGAAGATAATCGCTAACAATAGCGCTTAGAAATACGCGCTAAATAATAATAAGAGGAGAGGAATAATAATTTAGGAAATAATAGCCGTTATTACAATTAAAACCGATTCCTTAACGGAGATCTAATAGGTCTTTATATATTATAAATATTAGTAGTATTATACACCTTATAGTTAATATAACTATAATAGGAAGAAAGATCTAGGTAATAATTAATAGCGGAGTATAAGGAAATTTTATCTCGTTAAATCTCGTTAATAAATTACAATTACCTTAAATACCTAAAGATAAGCCCTACTAACTTATAACTATGGAAGGAACTACGGTAAAGTATAGCTATAAAGTAGTTAACATAAAGATCGCGTAGCTTCTTATTAACATATAAGGCACGAAACACCAAGTTATACTAGATATTACAGTAATCTTAAAACACAATATTATATTAGGGATACCTTAGTTATAAGCAAGTAATCTATAAGTTAATTAAAGAACCAGCTAACTTTAATAAGATTTACTAGGATACGGTTATAAAGCAAAGAGCGGCCTATAAAGGGCACCTTATTTGGACTATAATAGGCCTCTAGGAATATACGTGATTACTAGAGAGCTTAAAGCTAAGATAATAGAGATTCTTAAGAAATACTTAAAGTATAATAAGCTATTTAATAAAGAGCTAGAAACAGAACTACTAGAGCATTCACGCTAAAACCACGAGATTAAACTCTAGCCTAGTAGAGTTATACTCTTAATAGCCTTATTATAATACTACTTAAAAAGCTACTTTATAGTATTTAACCTAACTTACTTTCTAAGAAACAGACCTACTATGCCTTAGAACCTAAGCCACCGTTACAATAAGGCCGTATAAAAATCTTTTAAAGGATTATATTACCCTTATAATAATTCTCTTTATTAAGAAGAATAATAAGGTACGAGTAAGCGAAATAATACTATCGCGTTAATTATTCTTATTTACTCGGTTATAAACTAGGCTTACTTTACAGGTAAATAGAATTATAGCTTATATTTAGCGTATTAAGGTAAGTCTTAGCTTAATGTAAAGAATAAAGATAATACTAAAAGAACCCTTTAATAATAGATTTAACTATAGTAAAAAGAATACACTCTTTTAAAAATAAATATAAAGAGTAAATTAATTAATAGCTTAACTTTTAAAATAAAAACTACTTAAGTAAGCTATCTTAGGGTAAAGAAATACTTTAATATAAGCTAAGATTAAAGTAAAGATAAATAAGAATATATAAATTAGTTTATTTAATAAAAGGAAAAAAGAAGAGGTATTAAGAGAAAAGACTAACTTAAAAGTTATAGCTAATAAGCTTAATATTATTAACTATTATAAGGATCTTAAACTTAAAGTTAATAGTTTATAATAGGCGAGAGATACTATTTATTAGAGTATTAAGTTTCTTATTTACTTCCACGCGTTAGCCTAAGTATCCCTAGTTTTTAATCGTATACTATATAGGGCTTTTATTAAGGCTAGTTATAATTACGCGAGTAGCGCGAGCTAAACGATGTTACGAACGTCACCAAACGCGGGAAGGACTAGGCCGCACCAGGGAAGGCAAAGCCATAACAGGGGAGAACCAAGACGTCACGTGCCAGGTCACGTGATTATGAAGTGATTAATGGATCACCTATTAATTACTATAAGCTAAGTGATTATTAGATTACTTATTAATCGCTATAAGTTAGGGATTAATAGATAAATAAATAATTAGGGTGATTATAAGTCTATAATAAAGAGATAGACAAGTACTTAAGGAGAGGGTATTTTATCGTAGTAAATAATCTAGTTCTCTATTAATTAATCTAAGTAATAGTCTTATTATTAAGAGTTATACTCTTAATAGCCTTATTATAATACTACTTAAAAGCTACTTTATAGTATTTAACCTAACTTACTTTCTAAGAAATAGACCTACTATACCTTAGAACCTAAGCCACTATTACATTACGCTACTAGGTTTATAGGGCTATTTATTATAAAGGCCTAGTATAATACGGTTCTCGTTTATTATCTTATAAGCACTATTATTTAACTAAAAATAAGCGTTAGTGCTTTACTTCTTAGTATTTTCTATTAACTTATTACGATTATTTTTAGCTACTATAACCGTTCTAACCTAAATATTAGGCTAAGTATTAGAAGGAATATAGTCGCCCCTTATTACCGCTTAACTAATAGCACTTAAGGAGACAGGTCGCTAAGAATTCACGCCTCCGCCGCGTAATAGGGTGGGCTAAAGGCTAGAAAATAGGACAGATAATAGGCTGAGGTGTCCCTTAGTCAGAGCATTAACAAAAAAACTACATTTTCAATTTTTAAAAAAGCTTAAATAATTAATAATAAATCTAATAAAATACTTGAATTATAATAATAAATACATAAATTAGCTAATATTATAACCAATTAGCTTACATAAAAAAGTGGGTTCTTCTAGCTTATTATAAGCTTAAAAACTAGATTATGTAATTTTCTAAAAATACACTATACTATACTATACTATAAAAACTACATTTTATATTTTTTATAGTTCTAGGCTTATAAGAGCTTACAAGAACCCACTTTTTTATGTTAGCTTATAGTATAACATTTCTACTATTCATCCGTAAAACTTATAATCTTATAAGTATTTTATTAGATTTAATATAATTTTTTATATTTGAAACTATAAAAACTATAAAACTACGAAACTACACTACAGTTAATACTCTGCCCTTAGTAGAGTAAGTTACGTTCTTAACTAATAGTTCTCTAGTAACTTTAACAGAGTTATTTATTTAAGGTTAAAGGCTATACTTTACGTTTATACCCCTAATATCATCGCTTTAATCACATGGTATATTTAAAGATATTATATATGTAACGCTTATAATTAGAACGTTTATTAAAGCTATTATTAGAAGTTTTATTATCAGATACTATTTCTTTTACATCGTCTTTAGGAAAAGCTTTATCGAAATACGAAACCAAATCGTTCATGTTAATGCCCTCGCCTTAACCCCACTGCAACCGGTCTTCGTCGGTCATATTCTCAAGGCTAGAGGAACCTGCAGGACCACCAGAGAGTTGAACAGATGAAGTGCTGAGCTCTCCGTCGCTGGAATGAGTCGTATCCATGGCTGATGGTCCTCCAGTGATTCCAGAGGAATTCTGTGTCCAAGGCTGAAGGCCATCATTTGCGTCTATACCCCCGACGTCTTCCATTTGATCAGCCAGTGCATTTGGAAATATGTAACGCTTTTAGCTGGGAAGTTTATTGATACCATTATCGAAAACCTTAATATTAAATACTGTTTCTTCAGCGTTATCCTTAAAAATAGACTTGTTAAAATGCGAAAGCAAATTATCTATGTTAATGCCCTCGCCTTAACCCCACTTGAGCTTGTCTTCCTCGGTCATGTTCTCAAAGCCGGAGGAACCTACAAAAACGTCATGGCTAGTTTCCAACATCCTGACTGGAGATTTGGCTGTGTCAAAGTGCTGCATACTGCTGCTCTGCTCAGGAATCAAAATTCCCGCATTGGTGCTGGCATTGGTATGGGCTTCATGGGCCAGTCCATTGCCCAGGTCAAGCTTATGAGAGCTAGATGACAACGCTGTAGGTGCTTTCTCGGAGTCTCTGGCAGTGTATATATCGCAAGAGCCAGTTTCAGTAGCATCGAACAGGGCCGCAACCGACAGTTTCTTAGTAAGAGCACCATGCCTATGCTTCGGCGGTGGTGAAAGTACCCTAATTGTGTCCGGTCAGCATGTCTTGACGAAGGGGTTAAAGCGAGCAACTGCTACATACGTTTCTGCGCCCTTTGATTCACGTGTGTTGAGATCGTCGACAGAGGAGTTGCGTATGGTATGGGTCTCCGGCTCTACTTGATGTCCGGCTCCGAGAAGAGCCTGGTTCGCATCGTCCCTGCTTGCTGGTCAGTAGAGTCACATATAGTATCTAACTCAAGGATTTAGGGGTAGATTTACTTCCCGACAGAACCACCATATAGATTCGGCTTGCTCTTCAAAAGTTGACGATTTTCGTTACCTCCGTCCGCACCTTTCATCCACAACCCTTCAACCGAGGTCTTAACTGAACCAGCAGGTTCGGCAAGGGGCATCCTCGGGGAGTCTGGCTTCTGATTAGAAACAGGTTGAGGCATAATGACGGTATAACAAAAAGGTGTGTTTTAAGTAGGTTAAAGTTCGGGTTCTGTAGATTTTCTGTGTCATGTAGATAATCAACACGACAGACGAGCAGATTCTGCTCTGCTAGAAGTGGGCTTTATATAGGCATTCTGGCCATTTGTTTTTGATGCAATATTTCCGCCATTGATTTAATGCACCCAGCTAAATCGAATCAGACTATCCCCAGTATGATGTTCATCCAGCAGATGCCAAACCGTCTCTTGTTCCATTCTCAAACCAACAGCTATTCTGCAAGCCACATCACGGCGGATGTAGTTGCATATGACCATGGGTGATATGTTCCCTGCACAGCTGCTAAAATTGTACGAGTTCCTAGTAATCAAGCCGAATAATCCGACATATCGTCTGAGGAATCGAACGCATTTCGATCAGGCAACGACCAACATGCAAGTCCTGGCCAATCATCTCCTAGTAAATTACGGACTCTCACAGATTGAAATTGCTGAGTGTCACATTTTCCTGGCCACGTGCACGCAGCTGAAACCTGGTCCGCAGAGTGTCACACTTTTGCAGAATAAATTGCAGACTCTCGCACTTCTTTGTTCCTTGTTCTTAGACTCCGACTTTTTCTTGTAGGTCTCACAAACTGACCACTTGCACGACCCAGGTCTAAGACAGGTGCATTTCCTGATTCGTTTATACCTGTTCAGCGGAAGTTCAGGCGGGAAATGGGAATAAAGCGGAAATTCGATGATTTCGAGCTTGGTGTGCTTCAATGCCTGGACGACACAGAACGGAACCGTACGGCAATCCAAAACTTTCCCAGATTGGCTGGGCTGAGATATTTAACCGACGGCCACTTAAGTCCTAAAAACCTCAACGTGATCAGCTTCACAGCTTTACCGTATCACTTACCATGGAAGATTTTACGGCGGCTCAACAACTCGGGAATTGCAACAAGCGTTAAAAATAAACTGAAAACCCTGAAGTTATACAAATACTAGGGTGAATGCCATATTCAACTGCATAAGACTAACCAAAAGTTGGCCAGTCTTTACCTTAAAGGTATGGGGAATCGTCCTCAGGTTATGTTACGAACTGACTAGAGGCCAGATGTACATGACTATCTGTATCCGTCAGAAAATGAGGTTGGCGATGGTCGACTGGAAGATGCACACTATTACGGTAAGGCTGTGATGGTATCCCTTGACAAGGCGCCGTTAGTGCTTTAAACCCTCCTGTTTACAGGTTTAATATCCAGTAAAAAAAGGAGTCTAGAAACCACGACTACGTGCACATTATCACTTGCAATGTATTTGGCAGCCTCTGAGGGTAAAGATTATTGTTTGGAAGTATGGCTTTGTTTTAGCGTGGGTGATCTTCTCTCAAATGCCCAAAGTGGTCCTACGGCGAATCTTCGACATCTCCTTGGTGATACTCTATTTAATGCGATGGAGTCAAGTGAGGCTATGCAGGAGGAACGGCGAAATGGGAGGGATTGTGGTACGGACGCGCTGCAGATTACGCGCGACGGCGAAGACTACAGAACAGTTATTAATCTGGGTTTTGAAAAAGGAAGGATGATTTACTTTTCTTTATTTTTTGATTAGCTTGAGATCTGTGCTGGTAACATTCAATCCACAATACGAGTCCAGCTCTACTCCGTCCAAATTCTCTAGATTCGTCCTCTGAGGCTGGCCTCCTTGACCCGATCGGGTTACCAAATAGCTCCCTTCTTTGGCTGCCCGCCAGTACATCATCCTGGGGTATGGCACAGGCCCGAAATTTTCATAGCTGATCCATTCATAGTCGCCATTCGTCGTTTCCTCTCTCTATGGACAAATTAGCTTTTAATATCGGTCGACTCTGGGGAGTGTGCGCACCTCTGACATAACAAAGGCCGAGAGAGGAAAATGTCGAGATGTCGAGATATCGTAGTGGTCAGGGATTTAAGGAGACCAAAATATCAGTCACGCGCTGATGGTTTTTGTTTCACGATTGAAAATAATAATACGCAGAACTGTGAAGGACGATTGTTTTGGGGCGCGAAAAGACGTTGCCGAAGAGCGCTTTTTGCACGAAACAGACCCAGACGCCCCATGTGATTGAAACCCCGCCATTAGGCAACGCATTAGGTAGGTAGTGGTCTGAGCCGAGCACGCAGCTCTTCGGGGACCGCATACGTCATTGGCAGCAAATTGATTCTCACATAGCCGTGATAACTTATGAATATATTATGGAGCTCCCTTCTGTTGGTACAATCTCAACACTAAACAATAAAAGTAGTTCTCACATTGTGCGGACGGCGCTACAGATGAACCCGCTACAGGACTTGTTGATGATAGATGTAGAATCACGTGACCTTTCTCAATTTGTCTCCTTTCTTCTAGCCCCATATTGACACGTCGCTCTCTCTACACCCAACATAAACCACGATGCTGCACTCCTTGTATTTAAGTCAGCTGTCCATCTGGAAAAAATGGCGGCAACTTCTCACTGGCGTTTACCTGAAGTTGCATACGTTGATTCTTTCCATTTTCCGCCGCAATGTGTCACACCCGACTACGACTGAGCTGGTTAAGCTACCTGTCGCGTCTTTCCCGGGCTCAACCGCCCTTTTTTTCCGTCTGCGGCCAGGGATCATTTTGAAAGCTCCTGTTAAGGTAGGAGAAGATCAGATTTTGCGACTACGAGACAACGTGGATCACTATTTCAGCATCGAAAAGCAGATACTTAGCAGACTCGGTGTGCATCCGAGGATTGTCAGGTTCGTTACCCGCTTCTTTGAGCTTGCTCTGTTATATTTACCGATGGTTCTAGATTTCTAGGCTCACACACCGAGTTCCCAACCGGCCTACTCTTTGTTGAGGCTAACCACGGAAACCTTCAGTCTTTCTTATATCAACATAGCAACGAAATTACACTAAGCCTTCGCCATAAATGGTTTATTCAGGCGATCGAATCTATCGCGTTTATCCATAGTAAGGGTGTAATACATAGCGATTTAAGGCCAGATAACTTCCTCGTTCACGGCACATTACCTCTATCACTTGACATATGCCTCTGCGACTTTGGCGGCTCAACTTGCGAAGATCTCCAGCTTTCTGGAGGGAAGCTTCCCGACTCTGGCTTTCATAACCCGAATGCTACCTGGGAACCGACCTATGCCGCTGATATTTTTGGCCTTGGTTCTGTTCTGTATACTATTAGTACAGGTCATTGGCCATTTCGTGCAACTACCGGCCAATTTACTTCTATAGAAGAAATGGAGGAGTATGAGGCAGATGTAGATCATCACTTTGCTTCTGGTAATTTTCCCCAAGTTGACGGTCTTTTCGGGGGAGAGATTATTTTGGGATGTTGGACCAACAAGTTTTCTCACGCAGCAGAAATTATGGCAAGTATCTCCCGATTACAACTTAAGTCCTAGCATGCGTTTAAATATGTCCTTTGCCGTCATACATATTCACCAAAGTTGCCGCCGATAAAGATGGCCAATATTACAGGAACTCAGGGGTTTCTGCAACCATATCGTCCACATTTGCTTCCTTCTCTCTTTGAGCCCAAAGGCAGTCGCTTGAGTTCATGGTTTGGTTTAGATGGATTATCGCATCTCTCAAAATTGACGTCTTCTGTGTACCGGTCTCCGCACTGGAAAATCTTGGTAGTGTAGTATTGAGTGCACATAATGTCCCAAAAGAGTTGATGCTGAGGATATTTAGCTATTGTGAGATTCAGCAGGCCGCAATGACTTACTTTAATAACAGCTTCTTAGTTTTACCTGAGGGACATGAAGAGGCTTGTGCGAATTATCTTTGCGAGAGCGGCCATTGTAATTTATGTATTATGAACCGCCTAGGCAGCAGCGAGCTCCCACCGCCTCGTTTATGCATGAGAACTCCGCGGCAGGTGGGTGGTAAATGGCCTCATTCACATTGCGGATGGAGAAGAGGTATTACCAACCAAATACAAGCGGCGTTTAATCGCCTACCACCATAGTAGCAAATCCTGGCCCCGGTTTGATGCTGATCTCCACCGTGGTTACCAAAGGAAGCAGACAAGATTCTCACAAAAGCGCCGACTTCATGCGGGTATCAACCAACTGCATACTCTTATTTTAGTTCGCCTTCCTTCTTTGCCAATGAAGTCCGGTGCGTGCGCAGTATGTAAAACGACTGTGGGGATTATCTTCAAAAGGCAAATGGCTTCCACCCAAGGCAGCGCCTTTATCAGGTATCCCAGTGGGCATTTGGTTTACTTTTGTCCGTACAATATGATGACAACCGCTACCATTTCTCACGGCTTCCTAAGCCAAAAGTCCGTATACGCAACATACCGCCGCGTTATCACAGGCTCAGCCAACGATGCCAGCATCCGCCGTGGAGATTCTTCGGGCAGACCAGCTCTCGAGCATCCTGCAACACAAAATAAGAAATGAAGTAGGACAAACTTGAGAATAGAAGATGAGGAAGGCCGGGAAGGGCCTGACAAGTTCATAGTTACAGGACCGTCATGAAGACTATTCCTTTAGTAGTAATCACGCCTTGGCGGAAGGGAAAGCAGTTCTGGTCGGTAACAGCGGAATTCTCAGAGGCAAGGAACGGATGCATAGCTGCATAAGCGGCTAGGACAGTCGATAATTAAATAGCAGTCGGGTTACCAGTACCTGGCGTGGCCGACCAGTGCAGCAGGCACCAGAAAACTGTCATTGGTGCCAGCAACTAAAACCCTAGAGTTACCACCAACTCCTGACCAGCGGTTAGTGGACTCAACATTGCCAGTAACTTTGGGGCCTCTGCTACTGGTACCCAGCCATCACTGAATACCAGTCACCTGAAGGTGCTATTACCAGCTAACTGCAGTTACTGGTGCCTTAAGTGTGCTAGTAACCCGGGTGGGCAAGGTACTGGTAGCCTATGGACGGTGGTAACCTCTGTGTGCTTGGTGCCAGTAAATTTTGGCCGCTGGTAATGGAACCCCTGTGACAGCCAGTAACCGCCGAGGCAGTCCCTAA